GTAAGTTCATTATGAGCTCATTATAAGTTCTAGCACTTATCTAGGAGTTATGTAGGTGATCTATAACACTGTCTTCACAGACTTAGGATAAAGATTGTTAAGGTTTTTACTTAATTCTATAGCTAAATTTTAAGTAAACGTTTATAGAGTGGGTTTTCACTGAATTCATAATATACTAATTAGATACTTTTATGATAATTACCTAAATACAGAAAGCAACCTTGGGGGCCTGGGAAATGTCATTAAAAGCTTCTTTTGAGTTTTCTTTAGAAATAAACACTGCAGGATAAGAGAAAAGTAACGAAGACACCTGAACAAGAAAGGCGATTACAAAAGCTTTGAAGGTCGTAAAAGCCCAAAAGAGAAGAACTGCTACATGAAGGACCGTGCACCTGGGAACTTTCTTGAAGCACTTCAAGGACTGTAATGTGGGACTCTTCTGAAGAGAGTTCCTGGCAGTGCTATTCTTGACATGATAATTGTTTTATCCATGTATTACTCATAATTGATAAATGTAATATCATACAAGTTTATATAATCAATATACATATGTATGAGGGTTGACAAAAATTATTAGGCTCTGGTTATGTTTAACAAGGTTTTTACTTTGTGTCATTAAGTTTTAGTGCTATAGTTTAGTGTTTTATAGCTACTTTAAAGATTGTTTTAAGTTCATAAGTTTAAGTTCACACAATGATAAAACTGGTGCCTCAAAGATAATAATAATTGCTCCACTGCCTATCTTAAGACAAAGATGTTTTCCAGGAGGTTGCCAAGCATAAGGGAAAACAGCCAAATCACCATTATCCTAAACTTAAAAGCTCATTGGCAATTATGCAACCATAATAATTTTAGTTGTGTTAGTTTTATTTCATTATGTTTAGTTCACTTCAAGTGTTTATTCAGAGTAAAGATTAGTGTATGTATTTTCACAGTAAGTGACTTTCATAGTTATTCTTTAAATGCTAGCCACTGTTGTTTGGTCAAGTTAATGGGCTTCATATTCCTACTATCACTAGGTACAATCTATAGTTTTGTACTAGTGATTTTAAGGCTTTTTTAATTAGACAAGTGATGTGGAACCGAAGTCAAAGTAAACCTTGTATGCATTATGTTTAGTTTAAGTGAAACTCCTTTTACACTTATCTCAAGACTCATTAACTGAAAGTAGATAGTGTTTTTGGCTTATTCGTTTCTTCTAAAGACCGCTACATGGTGGTAACTTTTAAAGTACATGAAGGAATTTTCTTTGTCTTGCCTCTTTTACAAATGCTATAAAAGCTTTCTGTTAACTAATAAAGGATATCATCTGTTCAGGAAGCTGGTGTCGGAGTATAAGATTTTCGTCTTTCGCCTATCCGTCTCTCCTTCAGGAGATCTCACGACCTGGCAAAGGGGCTGGACCCCTTCAATGAGGTACATGCACTAGTTGCTCAGCTTGTCAGCTTATTTCAAGGACAAGCCGTGTCTCCTTGAGGAACTGAGGCCTCACAGGCTTGAGGGTGTCACAGGACTGATGCTGGAGCCCAGGATGAGGAACTATGGCCCAAGGCAGAGGCCAGGGCCCGTCTCATTCAGGAGGCCTTGGCAAGCCAGGAAGCTGTCCTATTTTACATATGTTAAATGAGGACAGTGGGCAAGCCCTAAGATTTCTTCCAGCTTGAACCCCACAGACTCAGGTTGGCAGAAGACAGTACTCTAGGGATGCCCTCCATCGGAAACAACACTATGAAGTGTGTCCTTTATTCTAAAAATCAAGCCAGGGATAACCCCAGTTCAGGAAGCGGGGAGGAGATAATAACTTTCAATCTACTAGGAAAATAAAAAGAGGGTGCTGTCATGGATCCTCCATGCAACACGTTACCCTCTGTATTCAGACTCCATGGTCCAGTCCAGCATCGTAATTCACATAGCAGCGAAACTCATTCGCCAGGTTTCGGGTGTGCTCTGGAATAAACTTGCACATCTTCACTCCAAGGAGTCTGGTGGCCTGTTCCTCCATGACGGCACCTGAAGAGAGGAAGTCACAAGAGTCCAGAGGGTGGAGGGCCTGCCAAACCCTGCGAGGAGCATGTGGGGGAGCCACAGCCATCAGCGATACCCCTGTGCACAGAGGTGGGCTTCCCTTTCCACTCCCTTTACCTTCTCCAAACTCTGGTGAATCACCCATGTTTCTCCATTTCTCTTTTATTTAACAAATCATTTCCCTACCTCTGCAAAGCTGAGACACTTAGAAATTTAGAAGTAAATTATATGCTACAAACAGGAAAGCAAAAATAATTACTAAAAACTCAGCCTTCCCAACGTTAAGACGTCTTTCTTGGTAACCATCTTGCAAAGGATATAAACACCCCCATGTTTGCTGACTCCTCCCAGGTTCTGCCCAGTCCAGCCCTTTGCCCGTGCATGGCCAGATCCTGCCCCCGCATGGGCCAGAAGCCTGCAAGACTCCGACTACTGCCCCTTCTTCCCTCCACACTCAGAGCACATCGAGTTCTTCTGGCTTAAACTCTGAAGCATCCAGCCTGTCCCCTGCCCTGCTTTCCCCTCTCACAGCCACAGCCTTATAGGGGTACATCAACTCCCTGAGACACTGTGACAGACTCAGCTTGCATCCACTTGCCCCTAAGACTTCCCGGAAAGGCTGAGAGGAACCTCTTTAGACAAGATGGCTCCAGAAGCTTTGGGGCCCTTACCCCAGCCATGACCCGGGGGCCTCCTGGCCTTCGATCTTGCCCTCCCCAGGCCCTGCTACCGGTGCCCTACCTACAGCTCGGCTGACATTCTGTTCTCTCACCACACCACCAGAACGAGCATATCACTTCTTGGTCTGTGCTGTGATATTTTTTAACCTAGCCCCTAAAACTAGAGTGCACGCTCCAGGAGGTCGGAGGGCCTGTGAGCTGGGGCTGGCGCAGGTACATGAGCGGCAGAGTCAGGAGTGTTGAGCAACCATCACATCGTATGAACAGAGAACGGCACCCTTCAACAGGCACAACCCTGCCACAGACTGCATGGCCAAGCAGCCCCGAGGCTCCCAGCTCAGCTAGCACTCAGCAGGCAAGAAGCGGGGCCCTGCAGCACTATAACGGCACCCATGAGTCTGGACCCCAGGGATGCCCAGAAGGAAACGTCTCAGTCCTCAGCCTCTACTGTGCTGAATGTTCCCACATCCACCTGAAATGGACATTCGCTTCACTTGTAAGAACACGTTGATGAACCTTAGGCCATTTACTTGCATGCCACAGATTCCACATTTCTCCTGGATCCAGTGTAGAGCCTGGACTAACATTGCCGCTACCAATGACGATGATAGCACATTTTTTTACAAAAGGCTAACACAACTGAGCAGTTACCATGTGCCAAGCCCTGGGCAGCATCTTCCATGTACACGTCTCTTAATTCTCCAGGACCCTTAGAGGCAGGCAGCATTATCAGTCTCAGCTTACAGATAAGGAAACTGGGGCATAGAGAGTCCAGCACCATGTCTGGGGTCACATGGGAAGGGGTGGATTTGGGCTTTGAGCTGTAGGATCTCGTCCAACTCTTGACACCTAAACCTGAGTGTCTCCTGAGCTCTGGGATGTGGCACCCACCTGTGCACAGCAGGATCTTCCCCCGAGTCAGGTACTTGATGGTTTCTGACGTTTTCCTTAGACATTCCTCAGAAAGGTAAGGAGGGTCTGCCACCACAATGTCAAAGCTGTGAGCAGCAATGTTCTCAGGTAAGTCCAGCGGGTTGTTATAGTCATAGAAGATGAACTCCTCTCCATACACGGCAAATCTCCTGTCATACTCAAAGATGGACACAGACACGGCTTCTCTGTGCAGTGCTCTGAGCTTCTGATAAACACTGGGGGCGCTCACACACGCTATTCTAGAAGACACACGAACACACTCATGACAGATCCTGATTAGATGGCTCACAGTGCTAAATATCAGCTACCTCACTAAAACAGTCCCAGTGTTCAGATTTCCTTTAAGGAAATACTAGTGTAAACTGATGCAATAGTACATCTGAAAAAAAGCTTTATAGTGCCTCTCTTATTTGGTATTTAAAAACCTGCAACTCAGCCAGGCTCGGCGGCTCGCCTTTGGGAGGCTGAGGTGAGTGGATTGCCTGAACCCGCGGGTTCGAGACCTGCCTGGGCAGCGAGACCACATCTCTACAGTAAATCAAAAAATCAGCCAGGCGTGGTAGCGCATGCCTGTAATTCCAGTTACTTGGAAGGCTGAGGCAGAAGGATCACCGGAGCCCAGCAGGTCGAGGCTGTGGTGGCCAGGAGTGACCACTGCACTCCAGTCTGGGCGACAGAGTGAGACTCCAACTCAAAAAAAACAAAAAAACAAAAAAAAAAAACCCCTGCAACTCATAATTTTGAGGTGAAAAGACAAATGTGCTTTTTATAGTAAAAGATATAAAACATCAGGAACAAATTATGTCAAAAGTTAGATATAGTTAGCCCAAAGCCTAGATGTACCTATTATTTTCATGTTGGAAGTATAATACTTATTTCAAAAACTTTTAGACCCAACTTGAAGTCATTTTGTAATATTCATGACTCCATGTACTATTCACAAGATTTGAAAGACAAACCCTGAGTAACTCCTTATGTAACACCAGTTTTCCAAAACCACACATTAAAATGTAGTCTTGCTGCAAACAAGCTAGTTTTCTGCCCTTCTTTTGCAAAAGGAAACAAAGAATCTACTTCACTGGACAGCATTCCAGTTAAAACCAGCTGCTAAAAGAGCCAGACGTAACCTGCATATGGAGTTACTGATCTGACTGTGGAACACACACCTGGCGCAGTGCCGTGCTGTGGAGACATTTACAGAGATGGAAGCGGCCCTCTCTACACTGGCAAGGCCTAGTAACTAGGTCTAGTCAAGGAACAGCAGAGCAGATGCGTGCACATGGGCATGGGGAGGCCTGTGTGCACATATGCAGGCGACCTCTGCAGGGTGCTCGTGGGAGGAGCTGGGGCCCTGGATACAAGGGCAAAGAGACGTGGTTTTCTCGAAATCCCCTTTGTCACTTTGTGATTCTTATTATGTGCATATATTATCATTACAAAAACTTAATTTTAAAATTAAACTCAGCTTTAAAAACGTGAGATATGCTGGATGCAGTGGCTCACACCAGTCATCCCAGCACCTTGGGAAGCAGAGGTAAGAGGACTATCTGAGCCCAGCGGTTTGAGACCAGCCTGGGCAACTTGGTGAGACCTCATCTCTACAATAAATCAAAAAATTAGCTGGTGGTGCACCTGTGGTTCCAGATACTTGAAAGGCTGAGGTAGAAGGATTGCCTGAGCCCTCAGGCAGAGGCTGTGGTGGCCGTGAGCGTGTCCCCGCACTCTAGCCTGGGCGACAGAGTGAGACTCCGACTCAAAAAAAAAGAAAAGAAAAGAAAGATGCGAGGTGCATTTCTTAAGAGACAGTGTCCCCCATGCTGGTTAGGTATCCGTGCCAGGCTGAAAAGGCTTCTTAGCTGAATGTACTTGCAGCAGATGGAGACCGGGATGTCACATAATGCTCCTGCAGAAACACATGTGTCCCCATCTGGCCTAGAAGGGCACAACTGTCCCTGCACAGCAGCTCTGGACGGGGTCGGGGGAAGGGCAGACAGAGGTGAGGACAGTGGATTACATCTTCATTCCATGGACAAAGGGCAAGGAGCTACCGACGACTGTATGGGCACCATGAGAACAACTTCCAGGAAGAAGGTGAGGTGAGAACATTGTCAGACATGTGGAACCCGAGTCTGCTTGGAGCTGGCCTTTGCTGAGAAATCAAAGACGCATTTCGGGCAGGACCTCGGTCCCGGATACAAGAAACAAGGCAAATGGAGACTGGCGAAGGGGTGGAGACGGTGGAGGCGACCAGGCAGCAGTGGGATCAGAGGGCCTGCATGGAAACCCCAGCTCTGCCACTTCCCGCTGGGTGACCTTCTACAAGGCCCAAGTCTCTACGGCCTGTTTTGAGAATGGAGAGTGTAACTGTAACTACCTCACAGAGACGGATTTAGAAAGAGATGATCCCAGTGAAGCACTCACGTCAGGAGAAGATACACAGTAAATGCTCAGTGTTACCTTTATTATCCATTTTTAAAATTAAAACTTAGTTCTCACAAATACTGAAGCTGCCTTTCTGGAAAAGGAAAAAGCTGCTTCCAGGGCCCTCATATGAATGGGGAAAAAGCAAGTATATGTAAAAGTGTTAAGACCAAGAAAAACCTAAAAAAAACTACATATGATTTTTAAAAAGCAGAAAACAGAAAAAGCATAAGATTTTCAGTTAAAGATGACTGACACATCCACTGAGATTTGCTGCCTTATGTAAGCCCACTCAGCAAGACAAGGGTACAATTCTGTCGTGCTTTTCTGTTCAGGTGTGTACCTCTAAGAGCCCAGGGAATACAGGAGGGGACCACAGACCACACGTAGGAGGCTGAAGTGGCTCAGCAGACCCAAGAATGCCATGTCCCACATGGCAGCCCAGAGAACAGAGAAGCACCCTGGGGTACAATGCAGCATCCCCAAGACCTCAGGAAGCTACGGAGCCAGGTGACTCAGGAAGCAGGGCAGGTGTGGAGCCAACACCAGAATTTGTTGAAGGGTCTGTTTACGAAGCAATCTGGCCAGGCATGGTGGCTCACGCCTGCAGTTCCAGAACTTTGAGAGGCCAAAGCAGGAGGATTGCTTGAGCCCAGGAGTTTGAGACCAGCCTGTGCAACATAGCAAGACATCGTCTCTACAAACAATAAAAAAAATTAGCTGGTATGGTGGCATGCACCTATAGTTCCAGCTACTTGGGAGGGTGAGGCAGAAGGATTTCCTGAGCTCAGTAGGTTGAGTCTACAGTGAGCTTTGATGGCATCACTGTACTCCAGCACAGGTGACAGAGACTTGGAAAGAAAAAAAAAAAGAGTGAGAGTAAGAAAAAGCAGTAATCTGTCCCCAGGACTCTTCTCCATATCTCAAGTCTTGGAGTATCTGCCCATCCACAACCGTGGCAAAGAGCTGGAGGAATGTTCTCTGGATTGGGGGATGCTGGGAGGGGGTATGCCAGGCACAGATGATGATAAAGTACAGTGTGGAAACCAGGAGGATCAAGGTAAACCCATAGGATGTTGAAACTTCCAGTCTTCTTTCAGTCATGTGACTCCAAGAATGACGCCAAGTAGATGCTTAACTTCCAGGTAGAAGAAATGAGGAAATCGTCCCTGGACCACAAGGAAAGACCTGGATACGATGACACTTGGGGGTCCCTAGGATACAGCTCACTCAGATCCCCCAACCATAGAGACCAAAGGACAAGGCCCAACTGTCAAGAGTAAGGGGGAGAACGAAAACATCTGCAGACAGGAAACATCCTAAAACCTCCCTGCCCCCCGCCTTTTCTGTGGGCACTGTCAGAGGACGTACACCCCAAGGACGAGACTGTAAACTAAGGATGGGGTGCAGGAAGCAAGGGCTCTGGAATGAGAGAGGTCAGAGGACTCCAGCCTGATGGTGACAGGAGACACCACACAACCAGAGGGCAACTGTGCGCACCACAACAGGCTGTAAAACCCTCAGGATACTTTTTTCGAGAAGCTGAAATGTATTTCCACTTACTGACAGGAAATTTACTTACTGACAGGAAATTTCCACTTACTGACAGAGATTTGGGGTGTTAATCAGTAATATGGACATAGAGCACATAAAAAAGAAGAAAACAAGCCGGGCTCGGTGGCTCAGCCTGTAATCCCAGCACTTTGGGAGGCCGAGGTGAGTGGTTTGCCTGAGCCCACGGGTTCGAGACCAGGCAGGGCAACTTGGCGAGAACTCGTCTCAACAATAAAACAAAAATTAGCCAGACTACAGGTAGTGCATGCCTGTAGTTCTGGCCACTTGGAAGGGTGAGGCGGAAGGCTCACCAAAGCCCAGTAGGTCAATGCTGGGTGGCCGTGAGCATGACACTGCACTCCAGCCTGGGCAATGGAATAAGACTCCAACTCAAAAAAAAAAAAAAAAAAAGAAAACAAAGAGTTGCACAGAAGAGAAAAAGGGTCAACTGAAAAGAGCACTTATGTTGTCATGGCAATGTAAGCCCTGCTCCAACCCAAACTGGGCTGTAACTCTAGGGAAACATGGACAGAAAAGCATGTGTGTTACGTGCTAACAGGAAGCCGTGAAAGAGTTAAATTCTCATTCTCCATGGTGGGAAGTCAAGAAACAATGTCTAAAAGACGAATCAAGAAGTGGCAATACAAGCACATTATTCAGAAACCTGACTGTAAATCCCAAAGAAATCAACCAAGAGAAAGATGAAAGTAGGGGATTTGTATGGGGGAAATTAGACAAGGATTTTTAAAAAATAAAACCTTTTAGAGCATTTGACTCTTTAAATCACATGCATATAAAGATTGATTAAAATATTCCTTTTTTTTTAAAGCTGGAGTCTCACTCTGTCACCCAGGCTGGAGTGCAGTGGCACACTCATGACTCACTGAAGCCTCATCCTCCTGGGCTCAGGTGATCCTCCTACCTCAGCCTCCCAAGTCATTAGAACTACAAGCACACACCACCACACTCAGTTAATTTTTCTGATTTTTTTGTAGAGTCAGGGTCTCACCATGTTGCCTAGGCTGGTCTCAAACTCCTGGGCTCAAGCAATCCTCTCATCTCAGCCTCCCAAAGTGCTGGGATGACAGGCATAAGCCTCCGCACCAAGCCAGAAAAGCTATATTCTTAAAACTTCAGAAAGGTCAAATATTAAGATTTTCCCTTTTAAAGCAAACTCTTGAAGTATAAAGGTAGGAAGCAGGTTAGAAAATACTAAAATAAAGAAAGGGATAAGAAATTCTATAACAAACAGATTTCTGAGCGGGTTTCTAAACTCCATGTTGGCACAGGTTTTAAACTGTCCTGTAAGCCACGCTCTGTGATTTTCACAGATTACAGTTCACACTTCTTACACACCACCTCTCATCTAGGAAAAACATTCAAAACACCACTCGAGGAGAGGATCAAGAGAAACAAAACTTACATCTCACCTGCCACCCTCTCCTGCAGCTGTGGCGGCTTCCTGAGCCAGTCGCAGTGCAGTGTCCTGGTTGTACCAAAACTGGCTCAGCTGCTGCAACAGAGGAAAGGTTGAGTGCGATTTAGAATGGCAGAAAGCTAGTTCTTCTAACTTATACCCACTGTGCCACATGCATATTTTAATATTTTCCTTTTGAAAATTAACACTCCTCTGAAATTAAATTAATCACGTCTCGATGCATTAATGGAGCCAAGGCATAGAGCATCAGTGCTGTGAATATCACAAAAGGAGACTACCAGTGTTTCTCCCAAGAACCACCCCACCTTTGCAAGAGTCTTGCCAAAAAACTGACCCTGAGTCTGACCAAACATCGAGACTAACTTCAAATGAATACAATCACAAACACAGCAGATGGAACAGTAAGTTCAATGACACCAAGGATGTGTAATCAGTAAAATCCAGACTGTGCTGGTTCTCGGCCTGTTACCTCCGCATGTTCTCAAGTTACTTGTTCCTCAAGGGCGAGTTGCTTTCCACCTGGCTCCTTCTGTTTCGTGCTGATTGATTTTTTTAAATGCCCAGTGATCCTTAATTTCCTCTTCACATGTATAAATTAAGAACAATTTTCATGGAAATGTGGCTTGGTTGTCCTCCACAATCCTATAAACCCATTTCTCCAACAGGTCTCGCCCTTCCCTGAATGGAGGGGTGGGTACAGTCAGTTGTACGGGGCATGCAAACAGGATTCTCTGCTTTAAAAATCTGCCCAGTGTAGAAACAATTCAAATGCCCATGAACTGACGGATGGACAAACTGTGGTATAATCACACAGTGAACTATTATTCAGCCATAAAAAAGAATGAAGTACTGATGCAAGCTACCACACGGAAAAGCCTTGGAAACATTACACTCAGTCAAAGAAATCAGACACAAAAGGCAACATATCATATGACTTCATTTACATGAAATGTCAGAATAGGCCAATCTATAGAGACAGAAGGTAGATTAGAGGTTGCCAGGGGACAGGAGAACTGGGGACTTAGGAGGTGGTAGCTCAAGAATATAGTGTGTCTTCCTGAGGCAATAAAATGTTCTAAAATAAACTGCAGGAATAATTGCACCTATCTGTGAATTGATTAAAACCTCTGAACTCTACACTTTAAAAAAGGTGAACTAAGAGGCTTCTGGAGTCTAAGATGGAAAGATCCCTTGAGGTCAGGAGTTTGAGAGCAGCCTGGACAACACAGCAAGACTCTATCTCTACAAAAAATAGTTGGATGTGGTGGTGTGCTCCTGTAATCCTAGCCACTCAGGAGGCTGAGACAGGAGGATCTTTCGAGCCCAGGAGTTCACAGCTGCAGTGAGCTATGATTATGATACTTCTATCCAGCCTGAGTGTATTATAGGTATTGTTCTACTTTTTCAGTTTCTAATAAAGCTACTGAGAAGTGCAATGTGATCTGTATTTCTGAGACTTCGCAGGTGACCTGCTATTCCCGCTAAAGGTTCTAGGATTTTCTGTCACCCTTATCCAAAATTTTCACAATTATCCTAATCTCTCATCTTCATGAGGGTCTTCAGTTCTGGAATTTTTTTTTTTTTGAGTGGGGGGGTCTCACTCTGTCACCCAGGCTGGAGTACAGTGGCACAACCACGACTCACCATAGCCTCGACCTCCTGAGCTCAAGCAATCCTTCTGCCTCAGCCTCCTGAGTAACTGAGACTATGAGGTGCACACCACGTCCAGCTAATTTTTTTCTTTTTCTTTTTCTTTTTTTAAGAGATGAGGTCTTGCTATGTTGCCTAGGCTGGTCTGTAACTTCTGGGCTCAAGTGATCTTCCTGTCTAAAGCTTCCCAAAGTGCTAGAATTATTCTATAAGGTGTGAGCCTCCACACCCAGCTTGAATATATCATCCCATTCTCTCCTGGCCTCTAAGGTTTCTCCTGAGAAATCCACTGTCAGTCTGATGAGGGTTCTCTTTTTTTTTGAGTTGGAGTCTCACTCTGTCACCCAGACTGGAGTGCAGTGGCCACTCCCGGCCACCGCAGCCTCGACCTGCTGGGCTCCGGCGATCCTTCCGCCTCAGCCTTCCAAGTAGCTGGAACTACAGGCGCACGCTACCACACCCGGCTAATTTTTTGATTTTTTGTAGAGATGAGGTCTCGCTGCCCAGGCGGGTCTCAAACCCGTGGGCTCAGGCAATCCACTCACCTCAGCCTCCCAAAGGCGCGGGATTACAGGCTGAGCCACCGAGCCTGGCTGAGGGTTCTCTTATAAGTGACTAAGTGCTTTTCTGTTTTTAGAGTTCACTTTGACTTTTGACAGTTTAACTATAATGTGCCATGGAAAAAACCTCTTTGAATTTTATCTGTTTGGGAATCTCTGAGTCTCCTGTAACTCTGGATATCTGAAACTCTTGCTAGACTTGAGAAGCCACTGTTTATTGTTTAAATAGGTTTTTTTATCCCTTTTGTTTTCTCTGTGTCTTCTGGGACACTGATAAATCAAATATTTGGCCACTTTATGGTGTCCCTTATGTCATGTAGCCTTTGTTCATTCTTTATCTTTATTTTTGTCTGATTGGGTTATTTCAAAAGCATTGTCTTAGAAAATGTTAGAAAACTCTTCTGCTTAATCTAGTCTATCATTAAGGCTTTCAAATATATTTTGGATCTTATTCAGTGAATCCTTCAGTTCTAGGATTTGTTTGGTTCTTCTAATGGTATGTCTGTTAAGTTTCTCACTAATATCATGAATTGTTTTTCTCATTCTTCATATTATTTTTCTAAGTTCTCTCGTATCTCATTGAGCTTCTTTAATACCATTTTAAATTCTTACTTGGCATTTCATAAATTTCTTTTGCAGTGGAATCTGCTGCAGAATTATTGTGTCCATTTGAAGGTGTCACATTTCCTTGCTTTTCCAAGTTTCATGTGTACTTCTGTTGATATCTGCACATTTGGTTTATCAGATGCTACTTCAAATTTTCTGAACTTGCTTTTAAAGGGGAGGATTTTTTCCATAAGCCTTATCTATGGTGTCGATTGGGCACTTTGGTTTTGATTCTGGGTACACACAGGAGTGCAGTCTCCATATGAGTTCAGCTGAACTGTCAATAGTGTCTGTGATTTCCTCAGTGACGTGGGGTATAGCTGTTAGTGGAGGCTGTGGCAAAGTTTTACTGGGGACAAGGATGTCAGATTAGCCTGTCCTTGAGCCCCAGGGTGGCAGTGGCAGGCCGAGCATGCCTGTCCCTGGGCCCAAGGGTGGTGTACTCTGGCACTGTGTTAAGAGGTCCAGGTGTTGGGAGGCTGAGGTGAGTGGATTGCCTGAGCCCGTGGGTTCGAGACCCACCTGGGCAACTTGGTGAGACCTCATCTCTACAATAAATCAAAAATGAGCCAGGCGTGGTAGCACACGCCTGTAGTTCCAGCAACTTGGAAGGCTGAGGTGGAAGGATCGCCGAAGCTCAGCAGGTCGAGGCTGCGGTGGCCGGGAGCGGCCACTGCACTCCAGTCTGGGTGACAGAGTGAGACTCCAACTCAAAAAAAAAGAGGTCCAGGTGGACTGATTCTTGGGCCTCCAGGTAGCTTGCTCAAGGACCAGCAGTGGTAGCAGTAGGCCAGGTGGGTGGGCTGGTCCTCAGATCCCGAAACAGTGGGTGTGGTGTGGGTCGTGACAGTAGTAACAGCAGGACAACCCTTTGGCTCTGAAGCAGGCCATGGCGGTGTGGCAGGGCTGGAATGTGCTGGGCAGGTCAGTCCCCAGGCCCCAGGAACATACAAAGTTGATGCTAGCTGTGGTGGCAGGAGCAGGTTGGGTGGACCCACCCTCATGTCCCCAGGAGGAGTGATATGGTGACAATGATGGTGAATGGGGCAGGGCAGCCTCCAGCCCCCCGGAGACCAGGCTCCAGCAGTGAGGATTGTGGCACCGGGCAGGAAAGGCCTGTCCTCAGGCCTCTTGGTGCTGCATACTGGCACTGGCTGTGGTAGGCAGGGGCAGAGTGACCCCCAGACCCATCAGAGAGTTTAGATGGGGCAGAAGCTGCAGCCCTGCTCCCAGGGAGGATGGCACTGCTCTCGGTGGCAAGGCCATGATGGCGGCTGGGAAACACGTGCTGTGGCCCTCACTGGAAGCAGGGGTGCCTTCCCAAGGCACTTTCTAAAGCAGGTAGCCATTCCTCAGTTTGTTTAAATGCTCCATGGCCCTGGCACCAGAGGCAGTGGGACGCTCCAGCAGCTCCCCCTTCTGTCCCATCTAAGCACAGTGAGCAGCAATGCCCGGCTGCTGGCAAGGATGTCAGTGGGCCCGTGATATTGAGAAGAGGTTGCTGTCAGAGTGGGAGATACTGGTGGGGCTGGGCTCTCAGCAGGCACCCGGCGTGGACCCCGTGTGAACCCCTCTGGTCTCCTGGTTGCTGCCTGTGGGTGTCCAGGCCTGCAGGGGCTCTCACCCAGCTAGGACCACAGGAAACTGCAGTGGGAGTGTGCCCTGCTGGGGGCCGCTTTCTCACCTTCCCCACATGATGGCCTCTGCAGACACCCAGCTGATCCTGGCCAGAAGACTTCCTTTCCCTTCCCCCTCCAGCCTCTGCAGCATTCCAGTGATCCCTCCCAGGTGACAATCTGGAGTGTGATGATTGCCTCAGCTTCTGGCTCTTTGCGGAGGAGGCAAGCACCACATGCCCCTCTAGTCTGCCACCTTGACTCACTGTGGTCTCATTGTCCTTTGGTTTTACTTCTGAATTTCTTCAATTTTATAATAAACCAAACCAAAGTGTCAAAATTAGCAAAGTCGTTAATTCCAAGTAGTAGGATTAGGACTAATTTTCATCTTTTTGTTCGTGCTTTTATATAATTCCTATAATAACCAAAAGTTACTTTTAGAACCAGGAAAAAAGCATATATTTCAAATTAAGAAAAAGAAAAGAAAAAGACTGTCTCAAGAATACTGCAGTACTTCAAGTCTCTGATTTATTATCTACAGAAGCATCAAGCTAGAAGGTAAAAATACATAAAGAAGCTGGGCTCCAGGGCTCAGCCTGTAATCCCAGCACTTCAGGAGGCTGAGGCGAGTGGACTGCCTGAGCCTGCGAGTTCGAGAACAGCCAGGGCAACTTGGTGAGACTTCATCTCTATGATAAGTCAAAAATTAGCCAGGTGTGGTAGCACGCAATTGTAATTCCAGCTACCTGGAAGGCTGAGGTGAAAGGATCTCTGGAGCCCAGCAGGTCGACACTGGGATGGCTCTTGAGCGTGTCACTGCACTCCAGCCTGGGCAACTGAGTGAGACTCCAACTCAAAAAAAAAAGGAAACAAAAAAGGGAAATATGAAGAGGCTTTCAAATAGGTGGAACACGCAGGATTAGTTAAAATAAACATTTTTATCACAGTTTCAAACAAAGAGTAAATAGAAAAATTTCCTGTAACTTAAGAGATCCAGAATGAACACAATATATAAGACTGTTTAAATAAAAGCACACAAAAGCTTCCTTCCAGTTGCAAACTGATGGAGACAGAGGCACAAACATCAAGCCTTGTCTGATTTTCAACTATCTCCTTTAAAAAATAATTAAATTTATAGGTTATATCCCATGTTAGGACTTTCCCTCATTTTTTCTTTTTTAGTTCCTACTTTTATTTAGTATATATCATACACCAGAAACTATTAATACCTTCCTCAAAACTCCCTCTCATCAATTCTTCACAACATGTTTAAATCCAGTTCCCCATTTACTGCAATGATGTATTTTCCTCTTTCCAACAGGATTTTTGGGTTCCATAAAAACCAACAGGGTGTATCTATATTCAAGAATAAGAGCACAAGTCTTTGTTGGACACAATGACGAATTATTTCCTTATCTGAAAAGACTCGTCCTCTGATCACCAACCAGCCTGATAGTCAAAACCACAAAAAACCACAAAAACGTGCATTTCTACGGTCCTCAAATGTTCATGGATCGCTTTCTGTCTTAGCTCCCCAAAGACGATCAGATCCCGAGTAACAGGTATGGAGAATTTGGTGGTAGCTGGGAGTCGGAGACCAAGGCAGAGTTGGCTCCACCCAGTTCTTCCTGATGGATGTGGGATGGACTCACTTACCCAGTTCTCTTCTATTACCCCACTGTTGTGCTGATAAGCTTCACCTGGGGCCATCTGCAGGTTCTGCTCAGCATAAAATTCCTGGAGAGCTGCCAACGCCTGGGCGGAAAGTTGGGGGGTCTCCTCATCTTCAGAGTCACTCATTTCACACACTGTCTGTAACCTGCAGACCAAAGAGCACATGGTCTGTATGGATTGTGCCACTTCTCATCTAATAATAATTATTTTAAAAATTCATTTACCAGCAAGGATCCAAACTGAAGTGAGACACAGGAAACACACATATTTAAAACTTCTGAGAGCAGGCTGAGAACAGTAGCTCACACCTATAACCCCAGAACTTTGGAAGGCTGAGGCGGGAGGATTGCTTGAGCCCAGGTGTTCAAGACCAGCCTGGACAGAATAGTGATACCCGGTCTCTACAAAAAATAAAAAAAATTAGCCTAGTGTAATGGCACATGCCTGTAGTCACAGCTACCTGGGAGGCTGAGGTAGAAGGATCACCTGAGTCCAGGTCGAGACCAGCCTGAGCAACATACAAAGAACCCGTCTCTACATATATATTTATAAATAATTAGCTGGGCATGGTGGCATGGGCCTCTAGTTCCCAGTTCTCGGGAAGCTGAAGCAAGAGGGCTTGAGCCCGGGAGTTTGAGACTGCAGGAAGCTATGCCTATGCCACTGCAGTCCAGCCTGAGCAACAGAGTGAGAGACACTGTCTCAAACAACCAGAAATCCCCAAAACTTCTGAGGTCAAACACCTACAGAGGGCTTGTGAAATGCAAGCTTTTCCTTGAAATGTGGCATGTTTTATAAATGATATTTCCAAATTGCTATGAGTTTTTGTAGAAGGAATCGTTTAGTATAAATATCTAAAGGCATTTGCTTCCTTCTGGTACCTCAATGACCAGATGCAGACATTTCACAGCAGAATCTATGAAGAGATACCTTTTTATACTTGAATGTCACTGTTTACGTGAATTAAGGTTCATTAATGTCACTGGTGGATGGATGTGAAGGATCAATAAAAAAGGAGAGGCGTTGGAAGAGATATGAAAATTAAGATGGATGATATGGAGAAAGGAAAGAGCAGAGAAAGAGAGAAAAGGAAGATGTTTTTATAGAAACTGACGGCCAGGCACAATTACTTCTTTTGGGTACCACTCAGAGTGAGCCAAGCTGTGAGGTTAAGGTACAGTCCTCCAGCAGCCAAGTCTGCCAAAACTCCTGACAAAAATGGCAAGTTCAGGGATTTCCCAAAACCATGCCAGGTTCAATAATTTGCTAGGAAGAGTCACAGAACTTACTGAGAGCAATTCTACTCAGTTACATTCATTACAGGGAAAAGACACAAATTAGAACCAGCCACGCGCAGGAAGGAGTCCATCATCCTTACAGCACATTTCCTCCTGTATCGATGCGCCACATCATGGCCCACTGCCAACCAGGAAGCTCCCGTGAGCTTCAGTATCCAGTATTTACAGACATTACACAGGCATGACTGATGGGTAACTGCCTACCTGGCTGCAGCTTCCAGCCCTGCCCACGCCAAGGCTGAGCCCAGGGGCCCTCCTGGGAGTCACCTTGACAGCACAGACTATCAGAGGGGGTCCGATGGCCTGCCACGAATAACAAAGACACTCCTGTCACTTGGAAAGTTCCAAGTGTTTAGAGGGTGCCACCAGGAGCCAGGACAAAGACCAGGCCTTTCTTGGGGTGAGGCCAAATTCCTTACTACACAGGTACCAAACACATTTCTGAACTGAAAGTTATCGAAGAGCAAAAAACATTATCGGGTTCACTTTTCAGAACAGAATGTCTGCGTTTTAGAGTAAGCGACGTGCTGACAATCAGCAAGACTGTCCAAGAGCTTCCTCCTGCTGCTCTTCGAACCCAAGGGCCACGTGGGTGTACCTGACTGGCAGGGTCTAGGGCGTGTTTGGGGCCATCACTGCAAGGGAGGCTGAAAAGCAAGACTTCAATGTGAGAAATCCCCCAACCCATTTTCAGGCTGTTTATTTCTCTCTCTCAATGATCACTGCCCTTTTTGACTAGTGTCCAACGTATTCAAAAACTGTCTGTGTTCCAATAAAGAAGAACCTTTTTTGTCATAAATTATGCTTGTTTCTTTAGTTAGATGTAAGGGAAAATTTAGTCCTCGATACTTCAAATGGAGAGTCACAACAGTGGAAAAACAATTAACTATAGCTGTATGTACTAGCCAGGATAAGTAAAGGACATGTAAGTAACAAAGTCACATTAAGAATACACACAGTGGCTGGATGTGGTGGCTCATACCTATAACCCTAGCACTTTGGGAGGCTGAGGCAAGAGGACTGCCTGAGCCCAGGGATTCGCGACCAGCCTGGGCAACACGGCAAGACCTTGTCTCTACAATAAATAAAAAAAAATTAGCCAGGCATGGCGGCGCATGCCTGTTGTTCCAGCTACTTGGAAGGTTGAGGCAGAAGGATCGCCTGAGCCCAGCAGGTGGACGTTGTGGTGGCCATGAGTCTGGGTGACGGTGTGAGACTCCAACTCAGAAAAAAACAAAACAAAACACAGTAACTGAAAATTGATCTTCCATACCATTCAGCAATCCCTCTTCTGGGAATATATCTGGAGGAACATAAATCATTCTACAAAAAAGACACCTGCACACGCATGTTTACTGCCGCACTATTCACCTTGGCAAAAACATGGCACCAACACTACCGCCCATCAAAAGTAGACTGGATAAAGAAAATGTGGTACATATACATGATGGAGAATTACACAGCCATAAAGAAATCATGGACTTCGCGGCAAACTGGATGGAGCTGGAGACCATCATACTAAGTGAACTATCACAGAAACTAAGATCTGAACACAGCATGTTCTCACTCAGAAGAGGGCCTTGAACACTAGTCACATTGGCACAAGGGAAAGATCAGCAGTCGCTGGACACTGCTAGGAGAGGGAGGAGGGTGGAGGGCACGTGACAACACAAAGGGGACCTGTCTACTAGCAAAGTGAGTGAGGGTCAGCTGGAAGCCCAAACTTCACCTGCATGGAGTCTACCTATGTAGTCAATCCTCTCTTGTATCCCACATCTCTATAATAAAATAAAAATTTTTAAAAAATACATGCAGATATAAGCAAGTGCATGAAAAACTCAAGATAAAAGACAGTGATTACCTCTGGGAGTAGCAACAGGCTTGGAGAGGAAAACAGTCTTAGGGATGTTCTGTTCAGTAAGGTGGCAGGAAACACATGTTCCTGTTACTATTATCACTAAACCTTCAGCATAACTGTTTTTATATGTATTTGGGAGTTAATGAACATTTTAACTTATAACATATTAGCAGAGACCTGTGGATAGAATTCTGTAGATAAAAAATTCCTGAAATAGCTTCCAATTTGATGCCTCATCACAGTACTAAAATCGTTAAAGGAATTGAAAATAAATCTCAAAGAACTCACTTTTCTTCTCTCTCACTTTTCAGTACTACAGATTGATCCTCACTAATGTTATGAGATCAATATAATAGGACATCAGCATTAAAAAAAACTCAGAATGTATCAAAGCATATAACCTCTAGTAGATTTAAATGTTTTGTGAAACTAGCTTTAGCATAAACATCTGTGCACACACCTATCTTGCGTTACATGTCATGATGCAAGATTAATGTGGGTCGTAGTATCCACAATAACTACTAAACAAGACACTTCCGTGGTTTCATAACAGCAATCCACTTTACAAAAAACAATGAATTATCATGCTCAGGGCAGAAAATGGAATAAATAAAAGTATATCACAGGAAATCAATGACCAATTTAAAGGAAATAATCTGAATTGTGATAGGAAACTTGGCAAGCATAATGAATGCCACCAACACTGAAGAAGATTTAACTTTGGCTTACTTGTTGCATATAGCATATTAACAGATTCTAAAATATATACTTTTTCTCATTATAACAGCTCTGAAATTAAAATGTCTGGGTTTTTTTTTGTTTTCTTTTTTGAGTTGGAGTCTCACTCGGTTGCCCAGACTGGAGTGCAGTGGCCACTCCTCGACCTGCTGGGCTCCGGCGATCCTTCCGCCTCGGCCTTCCAAGTAGCCGGAATTACAGGTATGCGCTACCACGCCCGGCTAATTTTTTGATTTATTGTAGAGATGAGGTCTCGCTGACCAGGTGGGTCTCGAACCCGCGGGCTCAGGCAATCCACTCACCTCAGCCTCCCAAAGGCACGGGATTGCAGGCTGAGCCACTGAGCCCGGCTGAAATGTTTGTTTTTTGTCAGCATGTTTTCTTAGGATATTGATACATTCTTACAAAATCACAGCATCTCAGATTTTGAAGAAATACAGTCATAACTGTATCAATTTTACATAATAATGCAGTGAATCACCTGTGTGGCACACCCATCAGTATACAGACTCAAAATAAAGTGGTCAAAGCCAGGGGTGGTGGCTCAAGCCTGTAATCCCAATACTTTAGGAGGCCGAGGCCTGAGATCAGGGGTTCATGACCAGCATGGGCAACTTGGTGAGACCTGTCTCTAAAAAATTAAAAATAAAAATAAAGAGGTCAGAAACAGGTGAGACTGTTCTGTACACTGACACTGTACAAGTGGTGTCCATGGAATGAATGGTGAAAGGATCTACAGAAGTTATTAGAGAAGAGGATTCTAGAAGATGGTAAGACTGGAAACAAGAGGAATTCGTCTCCCCACCTAGACAACTGCGCTGATGTATTAAATCTGTATTGGAAAGCTTGGAATGGTAAGTTGTGGTTAATTTCAGTCAACTTCCGCTCTTAGCTCAGCAGTGGCTACGACCTCCACCCCCCAGCCCCCTTGCAAGCAGCTATGCATGCACTACTGCTTTGTGGCTGAGCCTGGGAGGGACAGAAGATGAAGAGAGACCAAAGGCACAGGAAGAAAAGTGTAATACTACTCACAGTTCCCTAGAAATGAGTGGCGCCGGGCTTGGTGGCTCGGCCTGTAATCCCGTGCCTTTGGGAGACTGAGGTGAGTGGACTGCCTGAGCCCGCAGGCTCGAGACCCGCCTGGGCAACGAGACCCCATCTCTACAATAAATAAATTTAAAAAATCAGCCGGGCGTGGTAGCACGCACCTGTAATTCCAGCTACTCGGAAGGCTGAGG